ACTATAAAATAGACTCAAATAAAGCTCTTTAAAACTAAAATTCGAAATTCGCGCATCATAAATATATCGAATTAAAATTCTTGGCGTTTTCAAAACTTTTGAAATTCGTAGTGATAATCATCAAAAGAAGGAATCAATAAACTACATTGATCTAAATTTGGTGAGTTCAAAACTTGAATGCGCAACATTTGGAAATAGAATTAATCGTATTCTTTAGCATAATATAAAATATTACTTGAATAAAAACAAATGACGCTAGTTTAATAATAACAAATGAATATACCTGTATTCCTTTAGAACAACTTAGCTGATATTTAATAGAGAATCTTAAAATTGAAAAAAGGAGTTACGTATAAGATTTTTTCTGCTTAATATTTGTAATTTACTATTTCATTAAATGTTTCAATGTTATTTTAAGAAATTTTGCACCTTCAATATCTTACTACTTTTTCTAAAAATAAATAACAGTCTTTTCAGCTTCATAGATATCAGAGTAAGAATATCGTTTTGTCTTGCTATTGCTTGCGCATTTGCAAAATTCGCAAGACTAGCAGAAAAATAATGAAAAGAAATACAAATATGTTTCTGAATTCTGCATCAAGTTGGCCGTTATAATTATTTAAATATTCAATATGTTAAAAAAAGTTTCTATTCTTTAAAATTTTCTTATAAAAAATTGTACCTTGGATGAAAAAAAAAGTATATAAATTAAATCAATTCTTATTTATATTGCAAACAATAAAGTTATCAGAGCGATCTAATTTAATCATATCAGAAGTGTATTACAGTAAAAACAACAAACAAACAAACAACACACATTAAAAACAACATTACAGCGTAAAAAAGGCTTTTATTATTTCCAATTCCCGCAGCGGGTTAGAGCATTAAAATATCAATACAACATCCAAAAAGCTTTCTTTCATTTCCAATAACCGAAGCATATTAATACATTAAAGCATCAATAATGCATCAAAAAACCTTATATTATATCCAATTCCCGCAGCGAGTTAGAACATTAAAACATCAATACAACATCAAAAAAGCTTATATCATTTCTAATAACCGAAGCATGTTAATACATTAAAGCATCAATAATGCATCAAAAAACCTTATATTATATCCAATTCCCGCAGCGGGTTAGAACATTAAAACATCAATATAACATCAAAAAAGCTTATATCATTTCCAATAACCTTAGCATGTTAATACATTAAAACATCAATAATGCATCAAAAAACCTTATATTATATCCAATTCCCGCAGCTGGTTAGAACATTAAAACATCAATATAACATCAAAAAAGCTTATATCATTTCCAATAACCTTAGCATGTTAATACATTAAAACATCAATAATGCA